TTGGCTGCTGTCGTAGAGTTGATCGTGTGAAGCGGCTCGCGTCTCTTAGGAAACTAGGCGTTTGCGGAAATGCACTAGGTGGCGATGACAGAGGCGAGGAGCTAAAGAAGAACCTCGAGGTTTTTGGCGTAACGTGAATCGTATTCCTCTCCTCCAGCTGCTCGCCATCCTTGGAGAACGTCGCCCTCGGCAGAGTCGGAATTGAAGTCGAACTGACGGCTTCGACGCTCCCCGAACCCTGCACAGAGGCAATGGTAGAAGTCAACAGAGACCTCTTGCGCATCTCAGCAGAGCTCGCCTGATAAGCGTTGGCTCGCTGGGCACACGGGCTTGCAGATCGTCCCCTCCTCCGAAGACAGCTGCGGGCAGCTCTGTCGCTGGGCGTTTGGTGTGCTTCCACCGAGCCTAGGTTTCTGCTGGCGGCCAGGTCCTTCCTGGGGCTTTCGTCTGGGGGCGAAGACTGAGCTCTTGCGCTCTTTCTTGAAGTTCCGCTTAAGGTAGACCTGCCACCCAAAACGGGTGCATCATCGGTACTGGCACTCCTAGCATCGACGGTTGATTCCCTCGACCTCGCCCTAGTGATGGGCCCAGTAGACCTCGCCGTATTTGAGTCGGAGCCCTGCGAAGCGGATGCATGATTGCTTCCCTGAACTTGGGTTGAGTTTTGCGAGTCGTCGCTTAGGCAAATGCCGGAATCCTCGAACGAAAGTCTCCTCCGTTTCGCAGGCGGTTCCCGTTCCTCGCGACCGGCATCAGCTGGTCCAAAACTCCTCGGCTCGACCACGTCCACACGATTCGCGGCATCGAACTGGGCTTGAATCAGGGAGTAAAGCCCATTTTCGCTTCGGAAGTCCTAAGCATTACTTATTAGCATGGGTTGAGGAGCCAATGGCGTGGGTTCTTACAGGAATGCCCGAATTGGTACTGATGCCTGCGCCAGTAATGACCACAACCTTTCGTGCTTTGAAAAGAGAGTCGGCGATCCCTTGCAGAAGAACATCCTCTGTCGGGGTGACCTGGGTGGTAGGCATACTGAAGGCGTCCTAGAGTTGGCACATTGGACTTTCTGGAGTGGAGTTCGACACTGCTATTATGATGCTGATGGCCGAGGCGCGTCTGACAATAATGCGACTCGGGCGCCAGACTCCGCCAACATATATTCGGCGCGAGAGATAGAACGACTTGATTTCCGGATACCGGCTGTAGAAATTCGCTTGCTGTGAAGTCCAGATGTCTAGCGCCTCAGACGTATAGTGGCGTCTGGACCTACACGCCCTTGCTTAATTCGGCTCAGCTGAGGAGGGCAGAGCTACCAGTCGATTGGACTTCTCAGGAGTTCGTCGGGAGAGACGCAAATGCTATATCTTCTCCAGCTTCCGGAATTTGAACGTGGTGGACAGCTGTGCAGTCTTCTTTGGGATCGTAGTCTCTGGCGACGCGGTGATGGAAGGGGTTGGCAGCGGTGCAGACGCGGTGGGCCGGAGGCGCCAGACCAGGGTTCGCGGTACCGGGACCTGCTCGTCGAGTCTCGATGTCGGCGGCGTAGGTCGAAGAACGGAGTTGCCGTGTTCACTGTAGCCTCCGAATGTCCAATTGGCAGAACCGTGTCAAGTCGCGAACTCGAGAAAAACGTGAGTTCGAGGTTGTGGCGAGGCGACTGTCGGGGCCCAAGCTTGACATGAACAGACGCGTCTCAGAAGGTGCTCGGGAACACCAAAGCTCGAAAGCTTAACCGCCAAGCTATAGATGCTGTCGACTGTTTGCGTTTTTGAGCGCAAGGCAGACGGAGATTGTTGCGGTCTGAAGAAATTGCCGGGTAGTCAATAGGGAAGAGAAATTGAGGAGTTTGACCACACGAAGGCGTGTTCAAGGTTCCCTGGTGAAGTCAGATGTTGTTTGTGAACCGCGACCGCCCCGAAGAATAAGACCCCAGCCAGCAAAGACGCCAACAGCTTAGCGTGAGCGGCCCAGATCGCTAACCTCGCCTTAGTGAGATCACCGAGATCCACTACTGGGCGATAAAGATAAGGATAGTGTTATCGATAAGAGTCTCCATCGGATAAGGAACCTGGGCACTTGGGCATTGTGCACTTCCCTCAACCCACGCACTCAATGACACTTACTCTCTTTCAGGTATTATTTACCAAGCTTCAATGAGCTTGCTAGTATCTGTCCAAATCGCTATCTATGTCTGAGATTGACAGAAAAAGGAGACGTTGGGGCGAGAGGGGAAAGCAGTATAGCAGGCTGCGACGCACCAAACCTCAAGCTTAAGGTACCCAGAGCGAGTCAAAAACGCTGAGTTGCAGACCAACATCGCCATCAATTGTAGGTGCTATCGCTCTTACCTTACTTTTCCATCCCGAAGCCAAATCAGAGAAAGGGTAACGCCTCTGCTCTACAACGCTTGGTTCGACGGCTGAACGTGGTCGATATTGACATGAGTCCATGCCCTTGCCCAAGCGCCGGGGTGTCAACACATTTGTCACCTGTCTACCGTCACTGCTGGAAACCTTGTTGACTCTCAGTCCTCTTTTACCGCTCAAATCTGGCGATGCTCTCATGAGGCTCGACGAGCACTTTGATCTAGGCCAAAGACATTTTTCAGAGATTACAGTGTTTACGGAAGCCAGGCTCCCGATAATATTGCATCGATGGCTGTCCATCCATGGGAAGTCTCTCTCATACGGGACCACCTCCACGGCAATCGCTAGACGACGATGAGCTTCACTAGCTATGCTATCTGCGGATCATCCATCAACCCATCAGCCGTCTCGGCGTGGCATGATCGACATGGTATCCAGATTCACGTTCTTCTAGAAGCAAAAACTTGAGCGATGCGGGGAAATGACATCTCACCGGCAATGTGCTTAAGCCGTTGGATTGAGCGTCATGTAAATACATGAGACGAAGCCGGCAGCAGCATGGTACGCACTATCAACACACGCGCATTGTGAACAAGGTACACAGTCAATTACGCAAGGATCCCGCTCTCATCTCATATTGCCGACAGCTGCCGGCTTCATTCATCTGATATTTCCGCTCCGTGAATATCACGAGACGTTGAGGGAGATGCCAGCGTTGTATGTATCGTCATTGAGACGGCTCCGTTTGATCTCCATCACCCCGGCGCGCACCCTTGCGATAGTCCTGACAGGCGTCTTCACATCCACCCATTGAGCCTCAGCCAACTGCCACTCACGTCAACCTAACCTTAATACTAGAAACTCCGCCCGTGTCCTCCCCGATCACACCGGCCTGAGAGAGAAACCTTCCTCAGTCTGGACCTTCTTTTAGTTGCCGTGTCTTGTTTGAAATCAGAACGGGACCTGGATGAGGGCCTGACAGGCCTCAGCTCGCTTGATGTCGAATCCAAAGACACGACGAACACGTTCCAAACTCTTGGCACGAGCGCATGAATCGCCGGCGATCGGTGCATCTCATGGTCCATCCGGGCCGGAGACACTAGCCAGCAAGTAAGTGGTTGAATAACTTACCTAAAGGCTGTCCTCGTGCCGCTTTGAATTTTGCACGTCGCGATCTCATGGTGTTATTCTTAATTGCTCAATGTCAGCTCGTGTCTTTCCATTGTAAATCTATCGGTTCACTCTTTCGATCTAGGCTGGTCCAACGTCACTTCTCCATCATGCAGTACTACAAGTCGTTCACTCTTCTCTCGTTTGCCTCAGTGGCAGTGGCTCAGCAATGTACTCTGCAATTTGACGGCAGAGTTGCAACCGGAACCGAGGCAGAAGCGTTCGATGCTGAGAACAATCTCTTCAGTCCTCAGAATGTCTTTGGAGCTGGCTTGAGCTTCAGCAAAGTGTTGCAATTGCCTAATGAAGCCAGCTCGCCATTCGACGGCAACGACAACGTTCCTCTTGAAGTCACAATCAGGTTAGCTTCAGCCCCAGCGGATCATCATAGGTATGTTCAGCTAACGGCTATACTAGCGATCAGTCAATCTTCAACAAGCAGACAGCTTTCCGTCGCGCTGAGCTCATCCCATCATCCAACACGGGAACGGATGAGTCGACGACTGGCATCAAGACGTTGCATTTCAGTCTCTCGAAAGATGTCCAGCGTCCCCTTAATCTCTCGCACGAGTATCAGCTAGCTTTCCTGGAGAGTAATGATTTCAGCACAAATCAAGTTGTGCTCAAGACCGGCACCATCCTCGGCGGCGACGCAACGGTCGACCCAGATACACTGCAACTCTTTGGCAATGTCAACACCAAGCCGGCACCTACTGTCCTATTCAGCACTCCCTTCGCGGAGAACACCATTCATAACTTTGCTGTGACCATGGATTTCACCGCAAAGTGAGTCCTTTCTGAGCCTGAAGTGCGTTATAGGATACTAACACTTCGTTCAGCACGGTCCAGGTATTCTACTCGACCGATAACAACGACTTGGAGGCACAGGGGGAACCCCAGATCAACGATATCAAGGGTCAAGGTCAATACCACTTTGGTATTTTGAAGAAGCCCGTCGGAGGTCAGGGCGATATCACCAAGAATGGTTTTCAGCCGGACGGCATCGATGAGGGCATTGTCTACAGCGGCATCTTCCAGGAGGACAGCACCAACGGCTGCATCAGCCTGGCTCCTTAAGCTGTCTTCATTGAGCATGGCCAACTTTGTAGGGCCTTGGAGGACGCCTCAGACCCTACTATGATATATTTGAAGCTTTGCGGTGCAAAGATTTTGACAAAGTGCGCACATAGTGGTACAATGAATTGGTGCAACTATCCTGGGGTCCGTCTTACTATAACCTGGGATGGCACGTCAGTGGATAGCAGGAAGCTGACTATGACTTCTTACGAAGATGCTTTTACATCATGCATGAAAGTGGGCTACGATGAGAGATTTGATTTAGTAGAAATAATCGATTAGACTGGAGCATTGTTGATTAAGCCTCTTTACTGAACAATACTTGGAAGGATTTGCTCCTGCCCAAAAGACCTAAGTTCATTAAGCGTGATCAAAGTTCTCATTCGACTATGCCTCCTGATGGCTCACCGTAGCAGCCAGTTTCTCATGACGGTTGGCGACCTCTTCCAGCTGCGGGCGTAGAGAGTCAGCCGCCTCTTGCGAAAAGTGACGAGCGCCAACATGGTGCTCAAAGAGCAAGTCAATCTCCGAGTATGTAAGACCAAAGGGCTCCGGAAGACGGAAAAAGGTCCACGTAAGGAAAAGCACAGTGATGCCGGCCCAGAAGAAGCCGCCTCTGGCTCCCCAGTTCCAGTCATTCTTGCCCACAATCTTTGGCTGCAGCGCGTTGACGATGAAGCCTCCGCAATTGTAAAAGGCGCGAGAAAGGGCGACTGTCTTGACACGAAGCCGGGTAGATGGCATCTCCGCGACCAAGGTATAGCATGAGGGACCGACGCTGAGCTGGAAGGAGAAGAGCATCACGATGATGAGGGCTCCCACGGCCCATGACCGCGCTGGTAACCCAGCAGCGTCCTGCGGAATACCGATGCCACCGATGACGACAAGAATCACAAACATGGCCGATAGACCAGCCAGGTACAGAGTGCGACGGCCGATGTGAGTCATGATGTACCAGGCAATGATACAACCAATGAGGCCGATGCAGTTCTGGACCAAACTCATCGTGAACCCATTCTCAGAACTGAGGCCGGCGTTGATCATGAACTGCGTGCCGTAGCCCATGAACGGCACGCCGCAGAAAGACTGCGTCAGCCATACCATGCACGCAATTTCGGTGCGGCGAAGGTCGACACCGCGGAAGCAGTCCCAGTAGTGAGCGCCCGAACTGACCTCGATCTCAAACTGGTTCGTCACACGCATCATCTCGATGTGGGCGTCGAGGTCAAAGTCAATGTCACTCTTTGGAGAGGTAAGCTTGCGGACTGCTTCGCGCGCGTCCTCGAGGCGGTTTTGGCGGACAAGCCACCATGGACTTTCGGGGGCGAAGAGCGTGCCGATGATGATGGGTACGGGCCAGACCCATTGGATCGCAAATGCTGCGATGAGTTCGAGTCAATGATTTCTCATAACGGTAAGGTCAATTGGGTTGTCTTACGAATGCGGTATCCCCATTGATTGTCGATTTGCAAAAGCCCTCGAAGCATGCCACTGCTGATCAGCTGGCCGATGACCCAGCACATGTTTCTAGAGGTCTTTGTTAGCAATGCTGACAGACTCCTTGGGAAGAGGGTTCGATCAAACATACACCCAAGACGTCATGTATCCTGCCATTAAGGTTAATAAGTGAGTATAGCCAGATGTGCTCAGACAGACAACTAACCTCTGAGTGACATGGGGCAGATATCAGCCGCGTAGGTGACGGCGAGGGTTTGGAAGATACCCCAGGGGATGCCCTGAATCAAGGCTCCGGCCAAGAACATTGGGAGACCGTTGGCGAAGAAGGGGATGAACACGGCCCCGATCATGGCGACCATGGCGACAATCATGGTTTTCTTGTAGCCAATCCACTCGGTGATGATGCCATTGAGGATGAGACCAAGGATTGAGCCCGCCTGGGTGCCGTTGTTGATGATGGTTTGCCAGCGAGCCGAGACTAGAGGGTCGCCATTGGCATCGACTTGGTCGCCGTACCGCTTCATAAAAGCCGGAAAGGCGTAAAAATTACTCATGAGGTTGGTATCATAGCCCTTGAAGAAGTCAGTCGCGCTCTTGCTTTGAACTACTCCAAGATTCTCATACCTCCATGATAATGGCTAGAGAGATGATGAAGGAAAAGAGAATCGCTTTTGGCCAGAAGCGAAACGAGTCCCTCACGCTCATCTGGCGCTCGTTCTGCATGGCCGTGATGGCCTCACCAGGGTTGTTGTCATTATGGTGGCTGACGGTTGGCACCGCTTCGGCGCCCACAGTCTTTGTCTGAGCCATGCTGAAGACTCTTGCAAGAGAGCACCTGAAGCCTAGGCGACTACGAATGAGGTTATTCACGGAACCATCCACAACATGGGAACACAGGGTCGCATTTATAGAAAGTGAAGGCGGGGAAGCCGTTTGCAACCTACCATTACCACGGGACGACTTGAGGGACTTAGCGACTCTGAGAGTGCCAAACTCTGAAAGACCAATCCCAACATCAGATTAATCCGACCACTTTCACTTTAATGCCGAGGCATTGCGGAGAACCCCATGAAGATGAAGGGGACAACATTGGCAATCAGACGTTTCGAGTAACCAACGTGCCAACGTCGTACAACAAGTTCAAAGTCTGCTGTATCATATGAGGGTCCCATGGGGAATTCTCTGGGGTTGGGAGCAACGGGTCGGTCGAGACTTTTGGGGAAGCAAAGCGATGCGATCATTCGTCCAACGGCTTGTGGGTGTCACCGATCAGATGTCCAGGGCAAGGTTTGAGCGACTTTTCCGCACGTTTCCCGCCGCCTTTTCCCGATCCGTGGTAGACCGCCCGGCAGGGGAGGGGGTTCTTGAGTCTCTCGAGTCCCGGTCGAACCAACTCGGCCGGGTAACCACCGCGTGGTGGGATACAATCCTAGTCATCTTTGGAAGAAATCGGGATTCCTGACGGAGTATTGCGCTTCTTGTAGTTACTGCTTGCAATCGCCCCCTCTTCTTTGCTTCCTTTTCTTGCTGCGGACAAGACCACGACATATACGCAACCAAAGGGCGGTGTTCAGTCCGAGGGGATTCACAGCCCCGCTGGCATGCGGAAACCCTCGGCTTGTGCTGCGTGCCGGTAACATACTCGTCCCATTTTGGACCCTTCATGCCACTTTTATGCCGTCTTGTGATCTGACGAGAAATATCCTAGGGCCCGCAGGCGTAAGTGTCAAACTCGCGAGGGCCTCATTGACTGCGTTTACTGCGACGAGAGGGGCATCAAATGCGATCAAAGACCGCCCGAGGGGGGCTACTATGAGCAACGAGAGAATCAGCGTAAAGAACGCCTGGTAGAAGAGCGGAACCTATCCGTACATCAGCAAAGTAGTCACAACGCAGCAGCCGAAAGTGCATCGTCTGCATCTCAAAGTGGTGGCTGGTGCACCCATTGTGAGACCACTTCACATGCCGCCGCCGCACTGCCCAGTCTGCCGGTCCGGCTGGACCTCGTCAGACTCTACTTTGACTACATCCATGACCAGTTCCATTCCCTCTTCCATCGGCCGAGTTTCATTGAGGATGCACTCGGCGACCGAGTGCACCACAGCATCCTTTTTGGTATCTGCGCGCTATCTGCGAGGTGCGTCTTTTCGTGTGCTGCCAGGCAGGACAAGTGGATCCGATGAGATGGAATAAACCACAACTCTAATGATACCGTAGATTCTCAACCGACCCGGAGTTTGCAGATGTTGACCCTCGAGACAGAAGCCATGCTTACATACGGGCTGCCGAGGCACTGCTAAACCTACGTGATGTATCTCTCCCAACGATACAACTCTGCGTGTTGATAGGGGCAGCATTGACTGCCAATGGCGATGGAGAATCGGAAAACATCTACTACGGCGTCGCATGCCGCATGGCGCAGCTGCTGGACCTACCAGGAAGACCGGCTACCAGTCTCTTGGAACGAGAGATCAACATACGGGGTATGATTGAGCCTCCATTTCCCATTGTTTACCCGTTGGCCACGTTCATCTGTCACTGTGTTATGCAAGGCACGAACTCAAAGCTGACAGGTCGATTCCCAGTCTGGTGGTCGCTCTGCATGATCGACGTGTGGTCCTCCACTGCGGTGAAGTTACCCAAGCTGCTCCCGGCGAGATCCGATATCCCCTTGCCTATGGACGATCTACCGTTTCTCTCGTTGAGCCGCAGCGGATCCGGAGTAACGGGTACGGCATCAGCCGCTCAAAGCTCTCAACTCCTCTCGCAGATGGTGAGACTCAACAGGATCCTGTTGGATGTCAACGACTTTAACCAGCGTTGCGTTGCGGATAATCCTACCTGGGATGTCCTCGAGGAGGGCGTTGAGTCTCTAAGCATAAGAATGGAAGACTGGCTCGCCGCACTCCCGGCGAATATGCGTGATACCCCGGAAAACTTTGCCTGGTTTGCGGCCCGGGGCCAGGGCCGGACATTTGCGGCCGTTTACCTAGGCTACTACCACTTTGGCCAGCTCTTGTATTACCAGTTTCTCTATGGCGCGGCGACGACGACAGCCATCAACCCCACTGCCTCAGCCTCTGTCGCAAGGAGGGACTCGTACGCGAAGCGCTGCAAGGAACACGCGGCTCGGTTATGTGACATGGTCTACCGCGCCCAGACAACAGCCGGGTCGGACGTGCGGTACACGATGACGGCGCATGTACTCGTCATTGCGTCGACGGTACAGATTCACACACTCTTGTTCAGTGGGGATGAGGCGGATATCAGTGTGGCTCGGAGGCGCCTGGAGAGAAATTTCGAGTTGCTGATGCAGCTACGGTGTTACTGGCCTACTACTGACCGGGCCATCAGCCGTCTAAGAGCATTCCATCAGACGGCACGTACGAGCATCGACACGAGTTTCGTTCTGGACCGTTGGATGTTGAGGTTCCTGGTTGAGTTCGCGGAGCCAATGGAAGAAAAGGAACGCGGAGACGGGGAGGCGATGGAGTCATTGTGGATGGACGGGCCCCGGTGAGGGGAGCCGGACCTGTGTAGCGTAGCTGGGGAACCGCTTCCGGACTCTTGGCCCGGTGATGGAGACAATTATGTCAGTGCAGTGGACTTGAATAGTATGTTTGCTGCAACATGTGACAGGCAAAGCAACTCGCGAAGCGGCTCATCTTCGTGACAGGGGTAAGTCGCGATGTTCTGACTCCGAGAAATACACCGTTCAACCAACACATCTTCTGCCCAGTAGCGGGGTACGTCTTGGCCTCCGTTGATGTCTCCTCTCCGGCCGGTGATTTTCGTCCCATCGGCGTCCAGGCCGGTTGGCTGACGGGTGCGCCTGCATGACTCGGGAGGGTCGTTGCTGCAACACTGCGGAGAAGAGGCGGGAAACTCGACGACTTTTCCGCCCCTTGTTCGTCTTGGCTTGACCTCACCGTCTGATGTCGACCCCTCTAAGCCCCTCACTTTGGTAGCGGGAACGGGCATCATGTAAGTCGGAGAGCGACGCATGAGAACGAACGTGCGATGGCCACGGAGCCGGGGTTGAATGGATCTACGATGCCACTTTTCTCCATGCTATGATCTGTATAAGAAGGTGCCGACATTGAGTTCTCGTCGCCCCTATCAAAGTCTTGAGAGTGAGGTAGAGACTGTTTTCGGTTCTGCCGTCCGAACTTTGAATACAAGATGTCATATAAATCGCTCAGTCTTGCGGCCGCGATCGCAACCGCTGGACGGGTTGCCGCTCTCAGCAATGGACTGGCCGATACACCTCCGATGGGCTGGGTAAGTTACAAGAACCTGCTCGGAAGTATTGACTCCAACTTACAATCATCAGAACAACTGGAATGCCTTCGCATGCGACGTCTCCGAAGACCTCCTCCTGGGCACATCAGAGCGTGTCGTCAGCCTGGGCCTCCGTGATCTGGGCTACAATCACGTAGTACTGGATGACTGCTGGCAAGATGAGAATGGTCGCGATGACAGGGGAAAGCTCCAGCCAAATCTCGTAAAGTTTCCTAACGGACTGAAATACGTTTCGGACCATCTTCACAGCCAGGGACTCAAATATGGCATGTACTCGAGTGCTGGCGAGATGACTTGTGCCAGATTTGGTGAGTATCTCATTTTCGCTTCTATCACGATGGTGCTATGATGAACAATACTGACGCAAGGCAGCGGGCTCTCTCGATCATGAACACGACGATGCTCAGAGCTTCGCGTCATGGGGCGTCGACTTTCTCAAATACGACAATTGCTACCATATGGGCCGCATGGGAACACCGCAAATCTCCTTCAACAGGTTCAAAGTCATGGCTGATGCCCTCAACGCAACGGGCCGCCCCATCGCCCTAAGTCTCTGCAACTGGGGCGAAGACTACGTTCACACAGTTCGCTACTATCTCATATTCATGACTTCTGTATTTGTTTTACTAACACTCTAGCAGTGGGGAATGTCCATCTCAAACGCATGGCGCATGTCAGGCGACATCTACGACGCCTTCACCCGTCCCGACGACCTCTGCAGTTGCAACCAGGCCTCGGACCCCTTCTGCATCGCGCCAGGAACCCACTGCTCCGTCCTCTTCATCATTAACCGCGTCGCCACCTTCGCCGACCGCGGCATCCCCGGCGGCTGGAACGACCTCGACATGCTCGAGGTCGGCCAGGGCGGCATGACGGACGAGGAGTACAAGGCGCATTTCGCCCTCTGGGCCGCCCTCAAGTCGCCGCTGATGCTCGGCAACGATCTGCGGGATATGCCCGCCGAGGCACTAAGTATTATCAACAACCCGGCCATCATCGCCATCAGTCAGGATCCTCACGGCCGCAGCGCGTTGAGGGTGAGGAGGGATGTTGGAGGGGATCTGGTTCCGGACGAGTTTGGCGTTGCTGAAGCACAGGTCTGGAGTGGGCGGTTGGAGAACGGAGACCAGGTCGTCATCTTGCTCAACGCCGCCGGCGCGGATATTGAAATGAAGTCCTCGCTCGCGGAGATCTTCGTGGCAGATGGGCCTGGTGGCTCGGCGCCGCAGGTCAAGTCTAAATGGGCTGTTCACGATCTCTGGGCCGATAGGATGCCTACGGAGACGGCAGAGTCGTTATTCGCAGCCGAGAGCCACGACGCGCGGGCCAAGATTCTACGGGATGCCGAATGGTATAATGCTACCGAGACGCCTTATGCCCTCGGTCTGGAGAAGGAGGACCCGAGGCTGTTTGGCCAAAAGATTGGCGAAGTCGAGGCCAGAGGTGTGTTGAAGGCTTCGGTGCCCACCCATGCGGCCAAGGTATTCCGTTTACGGAGAATCGCGCAACCTGGAGATGGCTTCAAGGCTAAGAGTCATGACCGTACGCAAAGAGCTGTGAAGGACGAACTTTGAAGTGACTTGGAACCTTCAACGTGGAAGCTGAGGAAAACTTGGATGATTGGAAACGGCAGCGATCGCTCTATTATGATCATCGAGGTGGAAATGGATCAAGATGTGAGATGAACATCAATCCTGTGAAATATAATTGCGTTTATAGAGGGATAAGAGTATTTCAAACGAGAAGAGGAAATTAGAAAGCGGATTCTGATAAACCTAGAAGGTCATTTAACGTCATCTTTACTCCTTAAAACTCCCTGGCAGGTGACATCGTCGAATCTCAAAAGCCAACATATCTTTCAGTAATGAGTGAAATCAAGTAAAGAATCTATGAACTACTTGGAATTTCACTTCAAGGTCAGGAGAAAATTGCAAATAGGGGCCACGAGGTGATTGTTCCCTCGACGAAGTAAGTAAGCAACGTCTTCTTCTACTACGCGATGCAAGGCAACACCAAATCCCTTTGGATATTCACGGCGATTTCAACATCAAGCCTAGCTCTTCCCTTATCAGGCGACAATGACCTCAAAAATCAACAGACACCAACCAAGAGAAACGTCCACAGAGATTGCCTTGATTCAACTTCCGCCACAGACGCAGTCGTATCGGGCTCGGACCGGCACATACGGACTCACCCAAGCCTCCAGGCGTCGCCGCTGCGAGACAACATCTACGACATACTCCAGGAGCCCAAAGCTAAAGCCCAACAAACAACATCCTTTCCAAGACAACCTGACTATCCAGCAGAGACCACAGAAGCCCCGCGTAGGGAGCCAAGATCACTCCGATCATGTCCGGGGCCTCTGTTGAAACCCTCTTCACCTGACTCTGAGCTACGCTTTCCAAACCCACCTGTAACCCTGCGACCCGATTCACCGTGGTGAACAATTCCATTATCAAGAAAGGCAAGGCAAGAACAGGCGAAGTGCGCGTCGATATGATCCGGGGTGCAATGGACATGGTACTCTACGGAGACTCCAAGGAAGCTATTCCCTCTCTCGCTTTCTTTCTTGCGTCTTCCTTGGACCCAATTTGACGGAACAGCCTACATATATTGTGGGACGAGCGTGATCCGAGCCCCTGATCCGCCCAGAATCAGGACTCGCCTATTCAAGCATGTCGTGTCTCGATCCCGAAGCGCCCCCGGACGAAAGTCGTCACGTCGTCCCTCCTCCAGGGGCCTCCAGAGAAAGAGGAGAGAGCTCCGTTGTCAGAGGATGAAAGGTCGGCCGAGGTGAGCGGTAAATCCCCCCCTCTCCCCGGGTTTGTCGATGTTCATCCCTCGACTACCCGCCCAGTCAGCCCTGGCGATTTCGATCGATTGGAAACCGCGGAGGTGATGGAGCCGGATCGGCATCCTGATATGGGAACATCATAGCCATGAAACGTTCCATGGAAAGATCTCACAGTAAAGTGCCGTCACTGGAGACGAAAAAGTCATGGGCTGTTGCTAGGTTTCCTGGAAAGAATACTTCCATAGATTTTCAATCTAGAGCCATGTCGCGCTCGAGGGGGGTACATGTCGTTGAGCCACGATACGGACGAGCTGCAGTCGATGTCCCTGATCAAGTGTCACCCGCAAAAGTGCCTGGCCGTTCAGTCGACAGCTGAAGTAACGAGTCAGCCCCTCCTTCCAAGAAAAGCCACAACCCTGAGGAGAATTTGTCAACAGGTCTTGCAGATGTGAGGAGCGTCTGATCTGCTGAGAAGACAAGCAAACTAAAGAGGCTGCAAGATGTGGCCCGAGGCGTTGCAGTAACATAAGGTAGCTGCTTTCTTCACACCCCACGCCCCCCCTTGGGCTCCCCACTGAGCTTCGCAAATACCACGCCTCGAGTTGGTCTATGACCAAATCCCTGCTCTGTGAAAGGTCACAGTTCTCGGGTACATCCGTACATGAGGAGAAGGAGGGAGGGAGGGACAAGGAGCGAGAGAAAAGAAACCAGGAGTGGGATCGCCGCGAGGGCACAGCAGAACGCCTCACTCCCTCGGGGCTTAGGTGGTCATAAGAGGTTGGACCAATAGAGGACCTTTACGAGCGAGACTGACTCTGATCGAGACCTGCAGGGTGTTGGTGACATGCCTGGCCGAGAGATTGGTGGTAGAGCCCAGAGGGCTGTTGTGAGAGCCACGGTGACCCATGCTATACTTTTTCGACCACCAAAGAGCCGATTGCGCTACAGAGGACAGTGATACCTCGTATGACTTAGCAGGCAGGGAAAGGCGCGATGGTGAGGTACGAAGGTCGTGCGGTTTGGGATTGAGTGGCATGCCTTGCAGCAATGTCGTCAGACTCGTATCTTCCCTGGAGAACATCGCCCAAGCCGTCGTGCTGGGACCGAACCGTTGTGCAGAGTCTCCATCCAGGTCACGCAGCCAAAAGGAAGCCAGAAAAAGCATGTAATACTGTGCAGTATATTTAGGTTACCCGGACTCAGTCTGTTCGAAGGACGCGTCAAATTAGGAAGCGCCTATCGCGTACTCCGTAGATCCCGTTGTTCGTTTGGTGTCATCCAGCCCCCACCCAGCAGGGAGGCAGTGGGAGGGCTACCGAGCGCGGTTTGCGCCTCAGCTAGGCATGCCACCTTGGATCTAAGAAAGAGTAGACGTGTGTGTTGAGTTGGTGTCCGACTTTGTATTCCCCGCCCTCGGATGTCGCGCCGAGCAGCTGGGGCGGCAGACTGGCTCAAGGGGACCCGTACCACGGATCTTGGGTAGATATTCCTGGTCTCGATTCTCCAGTCTATATTGAGGAGCGGCAACCATCTGTTCCGTCATCGGAAGTGAACCATCAGCCAGACACGGCCGCAAGGTCAGGTTGGCAATCGATGAAGGTGGAGTATGCGTGAAGCGCGGCAAGCAAGGACCGCATGTTCAAGCTCTTTGCATCATCTGATGAACATACTTGCTCGAGATGATGCAGCTTCCCACCGCTCTCTGCCATAAACCTGTGTCGGTGTACGGGAACATGCAGATGCCACCAGGGGCGGCTTAGGTGGAACTCGTCTCCTGCGCGTTGTGCCTATTCCTGATGATGCTCTATGTACTGGCAGGCTCGCCGTCTTGGCTCGCCCCTCCCCAAAGTAACGGTGAGTTGGGAGATTTTCTCCCCCCTGCACCCTAGCTTTTACAGTTCTGGGCCGATCGGATGGAGTCGTCCCCAAGAGCCAAGGCAAGGTAATGCTTGTCGTCGATCTCTACTGTGTCGTCGTCGCTGGTCACCCGTTCCCGAGGGACTATTGACTAGGTTGGTCGTTCGTCTAGGTAGTCTCGAGCGACGACCATCCCAGAGCAATTTGCCCGCTTCTCCCGCGTGATTGTAAGCTCGACTAGGCCTGGAATTTGAAGCACTCTGGATCATTGGAGGTCGACCCATTCTGGGCACGACGGAAACGCGAAACGTAGCCCTCGAGGGGCTAGTCCTGGCGATCATTACTCCTCCCACGTGGTCGCAAATCAAACAAAAACCGGTGAGGCTAATGAGCTATCAACGCGGGACCAATAGCACCAGGCACGCCGTGCGTGGATGGCAGAAAGTGTGCGGTAGAGGAAGACCCAGTCGAGATTGTGAGCGGCAACTTCACGGGTAAGCCAAGCCAAGCCATTGGGTTTCGTGAACCCCCATATTCACATGAGAGTGAGACTGAAGAGTCGAGGGGAAGAAGCGACCGGGATCCTGAAAGATCTGGAAGCACGGCAGGCTAGTGCTATGTCGCTCAAGATATCGCAATCAACTGTGTCCGTACCTTGGCCCACTGCGTCCACAGTCCAACGCAATGAGCCATGCCGTGTTGGCGCTGCGGCTGCGTAAACCACGGGCTTGATGATGTCCCGTCGCTAGAGGCACTACTTACCGAACAGGGAGGCCCAGAGTTTGACAATGACACTTTCGTAGATGAGCTAGCTATCCGGTTAGCCTGTTAGCATCGTCTTGGGCCACATAAATGGCGACAGAATAGGTCGATAGACTCGCAAAACAACCCGAATGCTGGTCATCCCCACGCTGAATTAGCTCCTCACGACACGTCTAGTCCAGTAACGCCCAACGCCACGAAACGCCTTCGTTTCTTATTCCAACAACTCTCCACTTTCTCATATTATCTTGGAAAGTTCTTCTTGGCCGACTGACATGACACGAACGGGGAGTCGGGGGCGACTCCAGCATTGCCAGCATGGTCATCCCGAATAAAAGAAAATTTGGTCGTGTCACCAGACCAGGTCTAAACGAGAGTGAGGTACGGTAGTCACGGTACTCCGTATAGAGTACGGAAACGCAACGCAACGCAACACATCTTTGCGAGCATCTACACAGAAGATGTTCCTCTTGTGTTCCTTTCTTTTTGCTGATTGGTTGCACACGCCTTGCTGCAGGATCGTGGAAAAACAAACCGAGATGAGGTATGCTGATGGCAACCCGCAGAGCTTCCAGAGACTTGAACGGTGCGACCAGGTCATTTGCGTGCCATACTGTTGTGCTACGATCCTGGCGCCCGCTCAAAGTCGTCTGGAATCACGGGTTCTACCACGAGCTCTAGAATCGCGTCGAGAAGATGATGCTGCCGTTACCGATTAGAGCCAGAATACAGGGATGATCTCGTCCGGTACGACAGGCGACAAGTCAAGTGCTCAGTCCAAATGCTGCCGGGGATTTGTCGCGCGTCGTGATTGGAATTGCTGTATCAACGAAGTTTATGTGAGATGGCGCTGCCCAGAGAAAGCAGTGCTATGCTGCGGCGTCAAGTGAGTCGAGGACTTGAAGATACATAGGATACTTTGCCCAACAATCGATTGCGCACGCAATCTGATATGCAAAACACAGCTGGCGAAGCGCCTGAATCTTGCAGTCATTGAGCGTAAAGTTGGTATTGATCTTTTGAGGTGTGCGCCCGGCATGTGCCTTATTCGACGGCAAGCAGGACGAAGTTCCCCTCAGATCCAGCAGTTAGGGGCGGGTAGTTGAGACAAGTCTTTCGAGCCTGGTGTCTTCGATCCACGAACCAGTATCCGAAGGACTGGTTCGTGGACAAATAAGTGCATTGGCTGAATTCGCATAACAAGGTCGCACAGGTAGTCCGGGGCACACGTCGTATAACGTCTTTTACCGAGTGCGCATGAGAGGTAATGATCAAGCTGTCATACTGTGGCGTAAAGGAAACGGTCCCATCGAGGTAAGTTGTATACTGCCTTTTTGAGGTCCGACGTCTTTCTGCTGTTGGGTACGTCGAGCCCAGATACCGATTATAACAGCCGTCTCTTGAATAATAAATTTGAAGGAGCAGGAAAATCAAGGCCATGGCTCACTTTCTCGCTTAGGGTTGCTCAACCTCTACATGCCGTCATGTGACAAACAAGGTCGCCATTGCATGAATTGGAGGTTTTCGTGAGGCTGCCCAGAGCGTTGGCAACAGCGCGAGGGAACCCAGAGACGTGGTTATGCCGAAGTGTGTGGCTGCTGTGCTGGTAACAAGGCCATACTTGGAGTAGATTAGCGAGAGTGAAGACACGGCAGCAGCCATTATCCGTATGCAAGCCGAGGACTGTACCAACATACCGAGCTGAAAGTAACCATGGATGAGCAAGGAAGGTTCTCTTTTGAGCCCCAGGGAGTTGTCCAAACGACGTGACTGTGGCACAAGGCCGCATGCTCGGCATACCAACCACGACTCTCTCCCAGCTCAGCTCGGAACACAGACCAATCATGGTGTCTCGAGCACGATCAACCACATTGCCGCCTCCCGCACCGGAGAATGGTGTTGCACAGCAGTTTGATGGTAGCAGGCGTTGAAGAAAGCGGTCGTATCAGACGAGGGTGTTGCGAGGGTGAGCGCAAGATCTGCTTCAAGGCCAATATGGAGGTGCATGATCTTATTAGGTGAGACCTTCTCTCTCTCTCTCTCGCGATCATCGCCTTCACCCCGCCGAGACGCTTTTGCGGCTAAACACGTCGTTCCAGAGCTCGATTGGTAACTTGGTAAGTTTACCATACCGGAATGTAGCGTATCCATGGTTATGCATGCAGCAGCAAGGCACTTTGCTATGCGAATCAAGGAGTAGGTACAGAATTTCTGGGAAAACGGATTAGGTAACTCCCAATGCCTATAGCCCCGTCTCAACAAACAGGGCGTTCAGTGCTGCAACGCGCTCCCGCACATTGGCCTGTGGTCGGGTAGGCGGTCGACAGCAACAGGGTCGCAATCCATTCTCTTGAACCTGTTCGGCATCGTTGTTGGTGAACGCTATCTCAGATGACGCGACCCAAGACATGGTAAGGAATGGCCCATGGGTAGCATGTTTGAGGGGCTCAGCTGCCAGGTTCGGGGGAGCGCTAATTCGCGTTTAGGCTTTCAAGCAACGGCTCTGTCCTGTTTGCCAAAGCCTAGAGAATGCCTCATCTAATTACCTCGAGTGCTCACGTAGCGTCGCCCCCGTTGCCGTGACCGTGGACTACGGACATCATCATGCGTACCATGGCCTTCAACTGATATGGTCGAGAATAGAAGGAACTATTCATCATGATGTCCTGGATCCACGGTCCTGGGCCTTCCGTTACGGCCACGAGGTGGGCCCGAGTAGAAATGTCTCGCATCACGCAAATCAGGATGTCGAGTTTCCTACCTTAGTTCTCGGAAGCGAATCTGCAACATGCGGGCCTCGAGGCAGCAATGAAGGCAAGGTACCGATTGTCTGCCCCTTCCCACCCTGGCGGGATGACTTGCATATCAAAGACATGGCCGGGCGGATAGGACATGGTGACAAGGACGAAGCAGGTGGATTGCGTTAGGGAAGATTGTACCAGGGCACAAGTGGGCAAAGTTGCACCAAAGATGAAGTGGTAAAACGGTAACAAGCGAGAGACCGTCGGTGAGAGGGCAGGCAAGGTGGGCTTGTGTGCGTCGCGCGAGATTGGCTGGACTAAGGTAGAAGACCACGCTTTCCAGGGCCATGGTAAATGTCGTGGCGAGAGACAAGCCAGGCGAGCCAAAGTCGGAGCCAAGGTGTGATGCCATGATTGGACACCTGCCACACCCGTAACCGCACCCGTAACCGCAACCGCAACCGCACCCGCAAGCGTATTGGCATCAGGCGGATGTGCCATGATGAACGGACAGTAGGCCGACCGGAGCATGAACGGCAGAGCCTGTGGCCTACGTCTCGTCCGCTTCCATCCAATGTTGCCAATGATGGTGTTGAGCCTGCTAGGCATGGCAAGTGGATGGCGCTATCTAAACGAGTAGAGGGAGGCGCCCGAGGTCGATGGTTACGGCCGTAGGCGAATGGTGCCGGCATTGTATTTGCCCTAGGAATAAGGCGGCCGACTGTGTTGGGCGAGATACGTACAAATAGCCCTTGGGGCAGGTCAATAAGCATAAGCAGAAGCAGACTCTGCCTACCTTAACTTACTGTGTAGAATACCTACCGGTAGACGAAGAAGACGGCGTGTTAGGTAGCGTTGTCGCATGGTGTGTATGGGTAAGTAGGGAGCACGCATGCGGCTTCGCGTTGTAGGATGGAGTGAGAGATGGCGAGCCAGGGAGGATTGGGAGGTGAAGAGAGCGACGAGAACAGCGTGATGGAGTCGAGATGATGACGATAACAACGGGCCTGGGAGGATCCGTCCATGGATGGCCCTGTACAGAGCAGTACCCGAGGGATTAGCTGGGCGCCTCGATGCGAGGTAGACTAACGAGGGGCATGTCGACCTCGTGGAGTACCCGTGGAGGACGCTCTAGACTCTAGAGGGAGTCGAGGCTCGTGGTGTTTTGGCGAATTCGGGATGAATGCTTTTTCCAGCAAGCAAAGTGCAAGTGTAGCCGAAGCGGAGGCGGATGAGCAGCAAGTCGGATGTGGAAGAGGATCGAAACGGCGGCCTGCAGAGAAGGGCTCGTTGGCTCGTTGGCTCCCACACTAGCGAGGCACGCTCCCTAGCAGGCGAGGGAGAATGCAGGTTGCGGCGCTGCAGCAGCAGAGGGAGATGAACAGAGAGGAGAGTGCCCAAGGTAAAGCTTGATGGTTGAAGCTTGTTGGTTGCTTGATGAGGCGACTGGAGGGCAAGCCACGAAAGGATGGCGAGAAGTGAGGAGGAAATGTCAGGGGGGACCCTACTCTCCGGGACCTGCAGGACGGGACTCGATGAAGGAATAAGAAAGTGTTAGCGGCAGAAGCGGGGGAAGAAATCATCAGATGTTGGACTTGTGGCGGTGATGATGCGTTGCTGCTCGTGGTGGTTATGGTGGTGGTGGACGATATTGGGTTGAGGGTGCCCGTGAGGGAGGAAGATGTCGTTTTCACAGAAGTAAGTAACCTAAGGCACATGGATGTAAAAGTGCGAGATCTTACTGGGCAGGTACCTTGACTTGGGATCCTCCTGCCCTTGAGAGAAGTATCTAAGGTACCTTGGCTGTTTAGACACATTGCCTTTTCCTTCCATGGCGTTGAAAGGTGAAGAGATTCGAGGAAGGAAGGGAGTGAGGCAGGGAGGAAAGACCAGGAAGCCGTCGTATGGCGTGCCTGCCCGCGCTTCCATGGATGACTACCTACCTACCTTATCCGCGCAATGTACATACATCGATACGTCTTGGATCACTACTACCTTAGGTACCTTGGGTAGGTAGGGATTCGCTGAGTGCCTTCCTTACCGGCCTTGAGCAGGTACGGGTAGGTAAGGTACTGTTCTCACCTTTTGTTCCTTACTTTAGCCCAAGGTGAGGCAGAGAGCAGTCCGTTACCTAAGGTACGTAGTGGACGAGGCGAGTTACTACCGGCACAGGCAGCGCCGCCATGGCAGTCTAGGGCACTTGGTCGCTGAAACTCGCCTGATGTCTGCTGGAAATCCGCCGGGACCAGACTGACAGCGGCCCTTGCCTTGCGCTATCCACATCGGGGCTTTGGGGGCGGTGTTGGTGCGGCCGGGACTTTACCTACCTTAGGTAAGCCAGGTACCTTACTTAGGTTCCCTACCTTAGGTACATTACCTTAGGTAGGTTACTTATCTACTCCGTACCTACCCTAGGTAAGGTACTGTGTAGGTAAGGTATGTTTGATGGCTCAGTTCCTCTGAGATGGAAGGCGTGGAAGGCGTGAAAGGAAAGATCGGTGACAGGGTTCCTGCCTTACTGCTGGGAATGGAAGTGAGGGAGATACAGAGGTACTTAGAGGCTGAAGGGAAGGCCCGGCCTCTGACGCGACTTCCATGTGTAAGGCAGGTAAGGTAGGTAGGTACATCGAGTTTGTTCCTCAGGTCTCCTCAGGTCAGGGCAGGTCCATTCTTGGAAGAGGTCTGTCCTCCTCCTTCCCGCCCGCCGTCGCTCTCCTCCCGCGCGCACTAAGGTAGCGAGATGGACGATAAGGTAAGGTGGACGGGACACAACACAGACGGCATGGATGGTGGCTCATTCCATGGGACCATTTCCTCCTGCTCCTCCTCTTCCTCTTCCTCTTCCTCAATCCTCTCACCACTTTACTTACCACCATGGGAGACTGAGACTGAGACTGAGACTCCAACGCTCCGCTACCATCTACCTACCACGCCTACCACGCCTACCTCCCTCACGGTCCCCGCCATCACGGCCGTATGCGTCTCTAATTGTCATGCTTCTACCTTACCGAGTACCTACATCTGCCGCCGCCTTGTCTGCCACTACGCAGTAAGTAGGTAGCTACCTCGGCGCCCCCCTCCGCCCCCCTTCAATGTCGCCAACAACCTCACAGCAACAGCATTCGCGAGCCAGAGATTGGGTGCTTACCGCTCACCACCGCCGCACCGCCTGTCTGCGAGATCTGCAACAAGGGTTCTCCTTGTAATCCTCCTTTAGCCGTCGATCCAGTCTTCTCCAAACACCCGAGTCTTTCCAAAGGGGGCAATGGAATGATCCCACGAGGCTTTGAACCTGGTCTATCTGACCAAACGTACGCTATCAAGTACGCATACGTACGAATCATACGCCCCGATACCTAGCCTTGCAATTGCTAGCCCAGCTTCGCTCGCCCGTCATGCTGTCCATCAAACATGGCAACGGCATGACTCCTGGCCCCCTGAAGCCTGAAGGAACCCTCGCCTTGATGGTCCCGTCGCCTCCATCTTGCCAACTCGAGTTGGCCCTATCAGACTTTGACGGTCAGACGAGCCCTATCCGCCTCACTTGCGCTACTCTGCACACTACCGGTGTCAGTCGTCGCCTTACCGTCACGAATTACCATCTTAGTCGTCACCCTAGTCATGGCGACCAACCCAGGGGCGCCTCGAGCCAAGCTTTGTGAGGGGGTCATTGTAGCCACCTTCTTTGCCGCCTATCGTTCAATATCTCTTCAACTCAACTTGAAGAGAGTCGCCGACTGTGTCTTCTGCAGGAGCAACTCGCCAGATCAATTCCTGTAACACCCGCCGCTGGCCGCTAGATGCGTGCCTGTGCAGTGTTAGGTTGTGTGACTTGCCTCACGAATGCACACATCGCTCCCCGGACCTCAGGACTGGGACGTCCTCACTTTTGTGATGTTAGTTTTCAGTGCCAATGGCATGGATGGGGGCCGTGACTGCACCCAACACAGTATGGGCACATGGCTGCCCGCTCCACTTCCGGAACGGTGGCTCTCGAGATGTCGTCTGGCCGACTGTCGGGCTGGGAACACAAACCCCATGGACCTAAGTAAGCCAAGCAAGCACCAACGACAACCGAAAGAATTGCAACCAAGGCCAGGCACCTAATGCTTCGAGCCTGTAGACAGCGGCCGTGTGCCATTTTCTCGCGTCGCCTGCGAATGCAGCCATCTGCTCGTTCGTCGGTACTCGCTCTGAGCTCGTACTTTGCTACACCAACGTGTTCGAAAAGACATCGATTTGTATCTTTGCCATGTTGGACCGAGTCTAGCGAGGACGCCGCGGCGGGAAGCCACCAACCTTTCCAAAACCACCCACGTTGAATATAAGACCGCAACCGTTCCCAGGCTATCGTCGACGTTGAGCCATCTCATCGCCTGCTCACTGCGAGCCAACCATTCGACACTAGTCACGGTCACTGGAATCTCTATTTGCTGGAGCCCAACCCGTCCTGATTTCATCACCAACTGGTATCCGTCGTCGTCATCGTCGACAACTCCCACACCCCCCTGCTGGCTGTCATCGACCCATCGCATTTCACTTTGCGGCATCGCCCGCCTTTCCCATCTCACCCCAAGCTACCGCCCGTCAATTGGAATTAGGTGCAGTCGTCTCAGACACGAGTCTCACGCTTGTTGACTCTCCGACAACCACTAGGAACGAACCAACAGCGGCAAGTCCACCAAGCCAGCCCACTAGGCACCTCGTGAAGAAGGCCCATCCAACGGGGAGGGGAATTGGGTTGTGAACAGTAAGTCTGTGCCTGACATGACAGCGAGACACGGGCGCTACGGAAAGAAGTTGAGTTGACGTGCGGAGGCGGGCAGATAGCCAGACACAGATCCGTCTATTCCCGTACAAGACGGCCGCCAATTCACAGGCCCACGCCGCCAGGCCACGCCAGGCCTTGCCAATTCTGTGCCGTGAGTCTTGAACTCTCTTTTCTGGACCCCTTCCACGTTCCCCCGGCTGAGCCAGCCATCTTTTGATTGCGCTGCTCTACCCAAGCAATAAAATGGCCGGTCATGGCGCCAACCCGTCCCGCTCTCCGGCGTCAAGGCTTACACGGGAGACTGCCATGGCTTTTCGAGTCCTGGGAAACACACACAGTGCTGGCTCGTAGTCCGAGACGGATCACAACAAGATGGGTGAGTTTGGGTTTCGATTCGCCCAGATTTGAACCTCATCAGCGTCGACCGACAGAGTGGCCTCGGCAGTACAGCTCACTAGATGATCTCCTCGGTGACAGCTCTGGTCGAAACCCCCAAACATTTCCCTCCACACGCACGCACACACGCACACACACATACTCACGCACTTGGGTCCTTGTGGAGGCATATCGACCAGGGCGTTCGTTCAGCTGCGCTGGGGGGCCCTGCTCGGGCAGAAATGACGGGGATTTGATCTCAGTCAACTGCCCGGGTCTGCAAAGCCGCCTAGCTTTATTGGACCATCCGACAGGCGTCGTCGCCTGGCTTGCTTCCCGCCGTCGATCATCCCGTCTCTAGCCTCTAGTGCAGCATTGCTGCCTCCTCCTGGCTGCAAGGGGGTGTAGTGCGGTAGTCAAGTAGTGTATGCGTAGGGAACATGGAGGGGAGCCCGAGTGTCAACACACCACTGAAGGCAGAGAAACCCCGGCTTGGCCCTGCAAACATGCTTGGCTGGGCTGCGATGGGCTGTAGTGGGAGAAGATCAAGAAGCCAAGGTTGAAGCAAGAGGTTGAGATGACAGCAACACGGCGCCGCCTCTACCTCTTTCGATGCCTTGTGCATCTGCGCATCGCCAACCAATTCTTGACATGATCAGTGTCGTCAAGTCTCCAGCACACGCTCCCCTCATTTTCAAACAACGACTTGACCCGACAGTCCTCTCTGTCACCGCTGAGGTTACAATCACGCTATTCTCCAGCGGGAGGATGAATCCACTGATCGCCCCCGGGGCCGAGTGCTTCACCTGCACTATTAGCAATTGGGCTGACCAATTAGTGGTGACAGGAAACATCGAGAAAGAAACGAGCAGGGCAGAGCAGCAAATGCCAGGGGCAGGGCAGGAAAGCTCCGAGATTCAACCCCCCCCCCTCCCCCGGTGAGGCACAGAAACTCCACGGCGTCTTCGTGACGCTTGCGTACAGGCAACAGGCAGAGGCAGACCTCAGCTCAGAGGAGAGGCAGTGCCGTAAGTGTACCTACCTACCCATACGGCAACAGAGAAGAGCGCAAGCCTTGCTTGAACCACCATCTTCACCAGCACCCTTGATTAGTTCTTGATTGTCTAATACAGACTACCGGTAGAGAGTATCACGCGTTATTGATCGACCCTCTGAGACCAAGGCGAAGGAAGAAATAAGCATATTCAGGGGGTGCAAAGCAATTCTGTCTGGGTTTCTTCACATTACCGAGTACCTCACCGTTTATCGCGACTTTTTTATTTTATTTTTTATTTTTTTTGACAGCACTCCCAGTCGGGACAATTTGCGCCCACTCCACAGCGGCATCAGAGATCGTCATTTGGCAGATGCGCCCCGGAAGCCCGAGCAGCCGAAGCGACACCGACGAGTATTTTGACCCCCAACGACCTTTTTTCGGTCGAGGCGAAGCAGTACCGTACCAGTAGTGTACCTGCTGTACGGATACGGATACCTAGGAGTATTATACCTTGCTGGGCTCAAGATCTCCATAGATCTCCGTCGGCTTTCATCTCGGCCGCGGACGACACCGGCCAAACCCAACGCTCCCAGGCCCTGCTGTTGGCTGTTGTACGCTCGACCGGCGCAGACATTGGCACATTGGATTTCAGCCTCCAGAAAGCACGCTGATCGTACGCTATCTACGGATATACTTAGCTAGAGGTGGGCAGGCCGCAGACCAGATACCTATCTCAAAGACGATCGTGAGAGACATCAGGTCTAAGCCGGTCCGGTCCCTGGATCTCACTCTGAGTTTTGAATCAGATGTAAGTCTCATCTCTCTATAGCCAGGTTTGCTGCATCCCTCCATGCGGATCTCCCGATCTCCTCCATATCCTTTTCCCACACCTGATCTTCCACCGGCTCCCGTGCCTTTCCTTGGTAGGTGTCCATGATGATGGTGCCATGTTAGCAAAATGTGCCCTCTTTCAGCTACGCTATCTGTGGCATGGGCTCACCAACCTTGCTTCATGCACTTCTGAGTTCTCGCACACACACACACACACTCTCTCTCTCACTGTACGGAGGACTGCCACTCTCATATCTTCTCCTCTCGTCTGGCCCCCCCTCATGTCCTCCCAAATGCCCCCCCCCCCCCGTTTTTAAAAGGCACGAGCACACAGGGTTTGTATTGGATGACGGGTTGGTTTAGCCTGGGGTATCCCTCGTGTACATTCGCACTTGTACATTGCCTGACAGGTCTTGTGCAAGGTCTCCGGTGGTTGAGGGGGTGCGGACGGACGCATGCAAGGGCTCAGCCGGTCGGTAGTATCCCAAGCCAGATCCAGTGACACTGGAGCGTGCCGCTTGTATCCCGATTGCACACACTATTACCGCACCCCTCCATGCCGTTAGATGAGCCCCGGTCCATCCTAACCCTGGCCACATGCCACAGTCGGTCTATAGCCATTCCTCTCGTTCATCCCAACCCTCCCGCTCATTGGGTTTGCTGCAGCTGCTCACAGGAGCTATGGCCAATCACAGTACGCTAATCCGTGGTTCGCAGACATCAAATCCCATCTACGGTTGATCGACACACGCCTCAAGCCTCTCTCACACTCTCACTCTCACTCTCTTCTACGATACCCCCCTCCCGCAGTCTGTCTCTCACTCACGCCTTCACGCACTCACTCACACACACACACACACACACTTTTCTTTCTCGCTTCCTCTCTTCTCAGTACCTCTATTGTCCGAACGCAAAAGTCAATCTGAAGCTTCTCCCGCCCTAATAAGCGTGCATCTTTCCAATATCGCGAGCAACAAGTGACAAGCGGTGATCGCCTCACTGCTTATATGTTTCCCGCCAAGCCTACCAACACCGCAAAACCTCTCTGCGGATAGAAACACCTGTTCTTGCGAGTCTTTTGGTTGTGCTGTACATCATCTGTACGTAAGGTACCTTACTTACCTAGCAATCCCCTGGTACTGCCTCTCCTGCGCTGCCGCTCATCACGGTCGATCTTGACGAGTAAGTCCCCTCCATAATTCCTTTTTCCTGTCCTCAATCTCAGTCTTTCTCTCTTTTTCTGCCCTCTTCTTACCCATCTATGGATCCAGGCCCCTCGCCCTGAGCCTCCCGATGTTCCCTGTCATTTGTCATTCCCCTTCTTCTTCCTGCAACGGCCGTTTCCCTCTTTCCCTATTACGAACGGTCTCTCCCCTTCAGTCTCCCTGCATGAGAGACCTTTCGCTCTTCTTTTGCTTCTCACTCTTGACACTACAGCCCCGTGTCTTGCCTTTGGGCTACAAGTAGGTTAAGCTACCACGCTACCTATCCACGGTGTCTGGGTAGCAAGAAAAGGGCAGTTCATTCACCAACTTGAGCGACAGCCTTATTCCCTTGCCACACCCCAAATTCTCTATGAAGCAAGTCTCTCCTCCTAACTGCATGCCAACTCTTGCCAGCTGAAGCGGTTCCTATACATCATCATCACCATCCACGAATACCTACAGCCACTCAAACACGCGCAACACCCTTCCTCAATGAACAACTGACTCCTGCTCCCCACCCTTTTCTCTTCAGATGAATGAGACCTTGTTGCTCATAAGACAACTGGAACCTCGCATCTCCAACGGTGGTCCCTATCCCTGCCCAGCCTTGCCAGTCCTCTACAAGAATCCATAACCACGTTCAAGTTGCTTCCTGTACGGATACCTAGGTACCCTTACCATACACACCCCCTCCCCTCATCCCCACAAATGCCACCCGGTCTTGAGTCCCTCCTTGCCCGCTTCTTCCTCCTCCGCCAAAAGCTACTCGTGGACCAGATTATCTCCACTGGCTAGGGAAGGACGCAGAGCCCTCTTCCAAAAGAAACGACGAGGGGTACTACTGTAAGGGAGGGTAGTCGGGATCCCCAAGACGGAGCTATTGGTACGTGAGCTTCCTGTTAGTGCGGCAAGCAGACCAAAAGCAATATCCATCTTCCCAAGGTCCCTGTTCCCTCCCGTGTGGATCTGTCCGGCCGAACCTCTCTGTCGCCACAGACTCGTCGTCGTCGTCTTCCCTTCAACACTCATAACACACGTACCGTACCTGGCCTGCAGGGAGACAGACTGGCTTTGCTATCTCTCTCTCCATCAGACAGACCTGGGTATGCGAGAAATGCAACACCACTGCCCCGTACCTCGTCAACATTCCTCATCTACCTCCTTCACCCCCGCAACAAAATCAGCGACAGAGTCTGACTTTCTGAGTCCCAGTCTCGTCTCTCCCTCTTACTCCCCATCTCCTACTCTCTTTCTAGTTTCCCCATTTCTGTCTTCGCCTACCCCATTCATGCCCGGTGAGTAACCTCACAATCGATATTCGGGCACTCCTGGCTTGGTGGACCTCGCTCGCAAACCTACTGCTCTTCTCGTCGAAGAAACGCACGAGTGCTGCAGCATCTTTGAGCTTGTTTCCTTCAAAGGACGCCTGTTTCTAACTCTCTTGTTCTCACGAACAGGTTCGCCATCAGCCTACAGGACCAACGAACGAAGCACGGTTCAGCTCCACGTCTCTGGCATAGTGAACGGATTCAGTCTGTTTGTCAACAACCTCTAGCCCTGATTGGACACAACACTGGCGAACATCCCGACCTAGACGGTTGAGTACGTGATCCCTTCCTCTGCCTGCAAGCTGTTGCATGGCCACGAACTCCAGCAAGAAGCCGTCATGCCACTCGCTGCATCTTGCCGTCCCCAGCCAGCAGTTCTTGCGAAGGAGCATCAACGCTCCACCTTGGGAGCATTCAGGCTGACTTGCGTGCCAATGAACAGTCCCAGCACTGCATCTTTCAGTCGGTTACCAGCGCGTTGGAATTCTTGGGTCGTCCCGAAACTTGATCTCAGATTTCGGTTTGCCAGCGCCACGGCGACCAATGACAGGTGCATCGGTCTGAGTTCACTTCGCGCAACATCTGCCCTCAAAGAGCTGAGCTTGGTTTAAGATTGCCGCTCCTGGGTATCTTCTCAGCCTTCCCGCTTTCTCCATTTCTCCAACTTGCTTCGCTCTTCTCCTGGTATCATCACCCGGCCCGACCTCTACAGCTCGCTCCTCGATTCCAGTCGCGTCGAACCTCCACAATAATCACAGCAGCCGATCTTCTCAAATTCCTAGCGCCACCAGCCAGCTCGGATACGCCATCCACATATCTGAGTACGGTGTCTCAAACCAATCCTGCCGGGAGAATATCCTGAGACTGACGTTCCTCTGCTAGGAATTCTCCCTTCCCTCGCACTTGTCCTTGCCCTGTTCAACAAAACTCGCCCGGACTCTAATCACAGCAATCTCAAGACATATCTCTCCCTTCCTCCCTTTGTCCCTCGACGGTCCCACAAGGCCATAGTCTCTTTTCCTGTCGTTGCAACACTGCTCCCGAAACAGTGGTTTGCATTTTCCCGACACCAGATCACGCATCCTTTCCCAAGTGCACCCTCTTCTACAGCTTGAATGTCTGCTGCGAAGTTTGAGTGTGCTTCCTACAAGCATTTCGAGGTGAGTCAAAACTTTCTATCTCAACGTGGAGTTGAGCCACCCCCGAGACGTTGTTGGCCGCATCACTCGACAACGCCTCGTGCTATCTTGAAGAGCGCGGTAAGGCTGACGAGGGGTACCTCACCGAGAACAGCCCGACTTCCACCCGCAAAGGCCAATAATCATCGGCGAGGAAGGCCTTGACTCGCCAGAAACGGTGACTCTCAAGTACGAAGAGGCAGTCGCAAGGGCCAACGGAGACCTTCGGGGCGACTCCCCGCCGGGCGGTCTCCTCCCCATGTCCCACTACGGGAAGCAACAGCCAGGCCCAATCCACGGTACGTTTTTTTCTCTGTACTAAAGGCGAGCTTGATGGACTTTGTGTGATCTTTTCGGTTCCCATGAGCATTTTGGCGCAATACACCCAGTTGGAGTGCTATGGCTAACACGAACGTGTGTCTTGCAGGGTATGATTCGTCCCGTGGGTATCAGGATGCCGGGTATCAGCAATATGGAGCGCAAGCCTACCCTGCGCAGCACGGCGGTGCAGGCCAGCTCACCGCAGCCCAGATGAACCAGGAAGCTTTTGCCGCCAACAGTGCGGTGGGCTCGTACATGTCTGTCAGTGTAGGTCCATCGGTGGTATCATGTCAACCAAGTTCTGGAATGGCGGGCACCAAAGTGCAGGTCAAGATCAACTCGCCATATGATCTCCTCACCGTGGCGCCTTTCTACTCCCTCGTTTTCGGCGTGAACAAGGTGCAGGCACAACCCACCAAAGAATCCCAGGACAGCAACGGCTACATGTTCATTGTCTCGGCCGATGCACCGTCATTTGTGGTCACCAGCTGTGCCAACGAAAACGTGCCAGTTTTGGTCCTGATTGAAACAGAGAACGGCGAAGAAGTGTTCAAGGCGGCAGCGGGTCAATTTGTATATCACGAAGCAGGCCCAGGTGCTAGATCAGACGACATCACGAGGAAGATGTCAAAGTCACCTGAACAGCAACATCAGTCCCCCAGGTCAGCAAGCACTCAGCTCGGCAACGAAGCCAGTACAAATACGTACGACTTTGCAACAGCTCCGCAACAGCCTGCCCAGTCTCCCTATGGAAACTCGTTCTCGCAAGACAACAACAATACCAACATGCTCAGTGCTTACCGAACCAACTCCTTCCCGGAGCAGCATTACGCCCGAGCAGTGCCCCCGCCGTTGCGGCCGCCGATGGCCGGATGGCAGGCATACGGACGAACGCCCGGACCCCCCATCACGCACACGCAGATCTCCCGTCCTAGCTTGACGCCGCTACCGATGCCATCTGCCACGATGCCTCTGCTTGTCAGGACCAGCTCGATCCCAAGCTCTCCGGGAGGCGGACAGCAGTCTGGTTACAACCACTGGGGATCTTATTCCAACAAGGCTCAACTAAAGATTGTTGGCAAGCTCGATACTATGTCTACCGAATGGTCTCCCGAGGAGTGGTCCAACCGAAGACGCATCGTCATGTTCAGCAAGAAACAGACGGGACCGACGCTCACGGCAACCTTCCGACCCGTCAATGTCAATGAGAGACCACCCAACAGTATTTGCATCAGCTGCATCTGGTGGGCAGAGAAGAACGAGTGTTACGTCACGTCTGTAGACACTATCTACCTCTTGGAACAGCTTGTCGTTGCTCCAGCCAGGTTCACTGTGGAGGAGAAGAACCGCATCCGCCGCAACCTCGAGGGCTTCAGGCCTTTGACAGTCAGCAAGGCCAAGGCCGACTCGGAGGAATTCTTCAAGATCATCATGGGATTCCCGAACCCGAAGCCGAGGAACATTGAGAAGGACGTCAAAGTTTTCCCGTGGAAGATTTTGGAATCGGCGCTGAAGAAGATCATTGGCAAATACAGCGCTAGCCCCTCATCGACTCTTCCAGCCTCGCACCTCTTGACGCCCACACCGGTCAACGCGTATCCCCCGCCGCTCCCGACGCCGCCAGCCCCAACTGTTGCATCAGACCATGTCAGTGCCTATGGCGTTCCATCGCAAGTCCACCACCACGAAGGGTTGACCTCACCGCGGTCGATCACCGGCAGCACGCATAGCTGGCCTGCGTATTCCACAGGACCACCGCGCAACCTTTCTCCCGCACTCACATCAGTGTCGCCGCGGCAATCTGGACTACGTCTCGCTGCACCTCTACCAGCTGTCAGCAGCTATGATAGTCGGTCGATGACGAGCCATTCATACGGCGGCGGGCTCCAGACACCGCTGGGAAACCAGCATACACCGCCTTCAGCCCCTGGACGGTGGGATCCTACGATACCAGCGATGCATGCACCAACTACCTATGCAGAGCAGTATCAGTCCATGACTGCGCACCACACCCCAAGTCACCAAGTATACGGTGGAGGCGGATACGGGGACGGGGCGCAGCGGGCTTGACGCCGCGGGGGCGCCTAGGTGGGAGCGAGGGTGCCTGACAGGCGGCGGGCCAGGTGAGCGACGACGACCTGGCCGAGGAGGCAAGGTGCCTCGCGTCTGGTGAGGCACAAGCGTGATGTCCCGGAAGCAACACAACAAGTCTGGTCAAGAATTAATGGAGTGAGTCACTACTTTGGGACCAGGGTCGAGGGGTACGGGAGGGGCTTGGAGACACAGGGCAACCGCGTGAGCGAAACACGGGAACAAGAGCAGGGCTGGACAAAGGGAAGGGAAGCATCAAGAGATGTCGTCGGAGAGCAAGTCGTACGTCGTTGACTTGATTGGGGATGGCCAGGCTGCGGCTTTGGACAGGCTGCACGAGGAAGATGGAGGTGTGGTGTAGGGGGTCCACGGGTTTATCCCCCCCCCTGGTCACACACTTGCATCTGCCCGTCGCACTCCTCGTCTTGGTCCCGGGTTGAGTGTCACTGGGAGCAGTGCGGTGCTTGAGCATGAGCATGAGCATCTACACTACTACCGAGTAGGACTTTCGGTGTGGATGGGTGGAGACCCTCGAGGTGCTGTCAGCTGCTGTGGCGCAGACCAATGGAGGCTTCCGGAATCGAATCCACTTTTCCCGATTTAGATGGAGTCGGCGAATCACCTCTGCCCCGCTCAGCGACCGGCACCGCCAGCTCCACTCCCCGGCATCGACCTTGGGGATTACGAGCCACTTTTCCTCCGACGCACCATCCTCAACCCTCCCTCTCTCTCCCCCCTCCTTCGCCATCTCAGCTGGGAGCCTATCACCCCGTCTCTCTCTCTCAGTCTGCCTCTATGTATGCTCTGGGAGGCGGGGAAGCTTTCGATGTTTCCCTCTTTTTCGACAGCTTTCAGTACGGATGAACCCCTCTCTAGACCTTCACCGCATTGTCACGACGTGCAAACAGTGCAGGGGCAAGCGGCGCCTACTTTGCCTCTCTGGTCACACTTTTGTCTATCATCCATGACGGGACCATTCTAGACCACCTATCACCGCCGCGTTTGTCCGCCTGCACTTCGATAACGGATCCGAGCCTCGACCATCAACGTCGCCGATCAGTAGCTCTTTCCTTGGTGCATGATGGGTTGGGGGTGTATCTGGTGATCGTCTCTTGGAGGGGTCGCCTGTATCCGTCCGGCCTGCATGACGTACATCATCTGCGTCAAGGAGCTACCGAACGACACCGCGCCTTATCCGCCTGCTCCAAAATGCCAGACACTACTCTGTCTTCTCCAGACCCGTCTTTCAACCGGCTTGTCTTCGACCACTCGCTTGCCTTCCCGCCGGGCCTCTTCGGTCGTGCATTGGCGTTCCCGTGTTCCATACATGGGTTTCAAGGGCTCACCCGAGCCATTCACATGGCCTCCAAGTCTAAGCAAGCGCCCCTAAATCAACGACCAAGAACGAGCCGGCTCATCTGTCACGAAAAAGACAAGGAAGCATATTCCTGGCCAGGATATCTGTTTCCCGGGCAAAGATCAGTAGCAGCCCCCACCGTCACAGCATTCATGGCATGCCTTGGCTCTCGACTCGCTTCGCAAACGCGGGTGGCGCGGCTGAGTTTATTTCCACGCAGCCCGTCCGACCCTCCACTGCGCACTTTCGCTATTGACCCCAAGATCGGCAAAGACGGGGGCGCGGACTGATGCAACTCCGACCGCGACGCTGCTAACGACGCGTACTCTCGCGGCCTGGGACTGGTTCACCACCTTGGCGTCGATTTCCCACACCACCAATCTGTCTGCCTCCTTGCCCGAGACACTCTCATACTTGTTTCAGGAAATGACTGCAGTTCGAGCTGCCCACTGCCCACATAGAAAGGATACAACGGTGTTTGTCTACGGCTCGTTTGGTGATAGACTCGGTTGCATTTCGCTCATCTTTCCCCCATAGAGGACCGCCCACTACTACCCCACCAACGACTCGGCATTATAACCAATACGATTTTTTCCGCCTCTTCAAACCCCCTCGGTGTTTGGCTAGCAACATTCACGCGGCCTGCCGGGGCACCTGACGTCGCTTATCTGGACCACGTCTCGGCAATCTCAACCATACACGACAATCACCTCCACATCGCTACAATCACATCACTCGCGCTGCAACGACACTCCTTGCTCTGAACTCTCCCTCACAGAACACAACACAACACAACACCCAACATATCCTATACAACGCTTTCATTATCTTTCTCCTTCTCCTTCTCTCTCTCTACCTTCCATACATCTCATCTTATCTATGCATTTATCTTTATTGGCGCGAAGGGGAAAGGGGTTGGGATAGAACGGGGGAGAACTTGGACTGGGGCCAGTCAAATCATGTAAGACTTTCTAGAAGACGGTCGAAGAGGAGGAGGGAATTGGAACGGACAATGTGCGGACAGGGCGACGGAGAATACACGGTTTTCACAGGTGTCTTTGGTATGGTACAGACCGGGACAGGTCGGTTCTCGGGGAATCAGGTAACGGGGATACAACATTCTGGTGGGCTGCACATAGCATTATACCCTTCGCTTTGCTTTTGATGGCTTCGGGATCTGGGTTTTCGGTATTGTCATATATGGGATAGTCTCCTGATAATCATAATCGCTTGACATCTTTAGGAAGTCGGTCCTTACTCCTCGCCGTGTGATGTAGAATGATTCACGGCGCTCGACATGTATGCTGCCCGTCGAGATGTCGCATCTTGACGCGACTGCCTTGGGTACAGTCCATCGCCGGGTTGGCTGCGTGAGCTGGCTGATTCACTACTTCCACCGATCAAAACGAGCGCCTTTGGCCGTGATGAACGTAACCTAACGAGACCACCTCGACTTGTATAAAAGAAGCCGACTATCAACTGGCCATGAAAGTCACCATCGAAACATCCACCACTCAACCAGTGCTATCAAGCCCCTCAGACATTGAAACTAACATCTTCATCAGCATCACAAGCTCCAACAAAACCACACCAAAATGGCAAGCGACTCGAGCGTAAACGCCCTGGTAGGCATCCTTACCTTCTACATGGTCGTTGCATTCCTATTCTTCTGCTTCCTCCTGTACATGCGCTTCGTCAAGCGGCGCGTCCTCGTGCCCGTCGATCTGGGACCGCGCAGAGGACGGAGTACCACTGCCGTACGGGGCAGCGTTGGCGGTGATTCTGCGGCGGGGACGGGGGAGGATAACAGAGATGTTGGGAACGAGTTGGGCCGGTCTGGTGGTGCGACGACTGAGGGACCGACGGGGTGATTTGAGGTCCACCGTACTGATGGGATGGGATCGGGATAGTCAAAGTTTGCAACAAAGGCAAGGGCCGTCCGTCACCTGGTGATGCACGAGAGGCTTGTCTTGGGAGGGAATTCAATAGATTCAACATGACAGTATCAAATAGTAGCAAAATTGAGAGGACGTCAGTCTTGGGCGAAAAAAAAAAATACTCCATCGTTAGTCTACCCCCATGCGCGAGGTAACTCATAAAACTCAAGATATCCAAAGTTCCCATGGCACGACGCCTTGGATTTCGCCCTCTCTTTCCCTTGTTCAAATTCCAAACCGCATAGCTGCAAATCTACCTTGGCAATAGTAGTACTTCTTGATAGTATCTTCCGTGATGCCCATATTGGCGAATGCCTCTCGAAGCCACCGAAGCTGGTGGTTTCTCATGTTTGCGTTGGCACCGTGCGGCAAGTGAATCGTGATACTTCCCGCTTCGGGCTCCCCATTCGCTCCAGCCGGTTCCGTGAACGCGGAATGGGGCGTCCAGCTGAACTTCTCGCGAGATCCCTCCTGGGTCTGGCGGGCAAAGTTGAACGCGCTAAAGAGCTCAAACACGTTCCTCTTGACGACGGACCCTTCACCGTGGTTCCAAATACTTTCTATGGTCGACCAAACTGACCTGCTTATCGTGACCTTGTCCGTCTCGTCCCTGTTTTCTGCCTCTTTATCCTCAGGAGTCGACACCACTACGAGCTTGGGTAGACGAGAGTCCCAATGGGAAGGTTCGCAGTGGTCCGGGGGCGCGACAGTCATAATCTCTCCGCAGATCTTCTTGCAATCGTACCAAGGCCGTTTCAGTTCCAAGTCGACTTTGCCAGGGGGTTCGGCAGCGAGATATCGTTGAACACCAGCTGGTCGACAATATCTTGGCGTCGCGGCATTTTTGCTGACTTTGCTCCTCTTACTCCCGTGCCTCACGATACCGCCGCCACCCCTACCACCGCCCGCAGGGCTCATTTTCTTCTTTGACTTCTTGAACTCCCTCGAACCCTTCGACTCCTTCGACTCCTCTGAGTCCTCCCACTCTAACTCTTTGGTCGACTTTACAAGCCCGTTGCAGAGTTCTTGCCAAAAGCTCTTCACCCACAACTGGGCTAGCAACGAATGCCGGCCGTAATCTTTGTCTCCATGCGGTTTGTAGACGACCCCGAGCAACCATTGTGTGTATCTCAGCGTCTCCTCTTGCACAAGATCCTCGAATGGCACGTCGTCAAAACCAATGAGAAAGGGGCCTACTGGACTTTCACGGCGCCGCGTGCTGCGACCTTTGGCATCCAGGAGATCTTGTCCGAATGGATGTACAAGTTGCATGTGATGGCAGAGTAGGCCCGTCAAGTGTATAGCTTCATAGTCTCTTGTGACTGTCGTCTGAGCCCCGAGTGCTGTGTGTCGCTCATAAAGCTTCGTGCGCAAGGCCCGGATGAGCTTCGGTAAGCCAATGGTCCCAATGTTGAAGTTGCTCGCAAGTCCGGTGTGGACATTCTTGATTGACCACCAGGTTGGACTATCCAACATTTCGATATTAGGTTCGTTCATGTCGTTATTGTCAATATCCATTGCGTCCCCGTGTGTTGCCGACTCGCGGTTCCTTACAGTGAAGTCTATCTTGGTACCGGCATACTGCTTGGGTAGGTCCCAATCATCCTTGACTACTTGCAAATTCGGCCAGCCAGTATCTCGACGAAAGAGATGCCGGGTTGTTTCGCTGGCAAACAAGCCGCCATGGCCGACGACGTGGTTTATTCGACGCTCCACAAACCAACGTGCATGGAAGCCCAAGTCGACCCATGCCTCCTTCACTTTAGGTTGATCGTCTGGTATTTCTAGACGCTGGGAACCTTCTGAGCACCAAAGGTTAACTCCGCTGGCACGAGCAAGGTTCCACAAGGCATCGATTTTGCTGACCAGGCATTGCCACATTTCGACCTCGTATAGAGCCCACTGAACGACGCGTCTGATGATATCATTGATCAGACTCTTCTTTGCGTCAATGTCGCGTGCCAAAAAATGAGGAAGTTCGCCCTGGTAGGACACCGCCATTGCTGCGTTCTTCGGAACATGGTGGACGGAGGTCTGGGGTTGCTCGGATACGTGTCCGTAGTGCTGCTGAAATTGCTCATCGACGCATTGCTGGAAATAGAATGGATCAAGCCAAAGGCTCCTCAAATGATCTTTTGACCATTGTAGTTGCTGTGTAAACTTTGTCTTGAATTCATCAAGCCATTTCCGGTTGAGAGAGGCTGGTGGCATGTACAGCCCATATTCGACTATTCCCTCATTTTCGAAGTAGAAGATCCTTTCTGAACGGTGTGCTTTTGTCCAGGCATCGACTCGGTCATTGTCGATAGTTTCAGCGCCTACTTCTTCCCTTGGTTGGCCGCTTTTTATTGCTATTGCTTTGGTGACACTGTAGAGGATTCGGTAAAGCAGGGCTTGGGTATGGAGGAGATGGATGCCATCGGCCCAGGCAAAGAGGCGACCACTCTTGCGTAGATGTTCAAACATCCAGTCTTGGTCAGGGTCTCTTTGGTCAGTATGGCATATCAGAATGAAGTCGTCCACGATGAAAAAGTAGGGGGCGCTTCGTTTCAGTCCCATCTGTTTGCCCATCTGGACATCATCTGGAGTGAGGATCCCAATGAATCGATTGTCCACAAATTTGGGCAGGAACAACTTGCTAGCTCGACCAAGATGTAGTGCTTCCCAGTCTGCGAATGTAAAGGCGCTGGGGTCGCAATTCATTCGGTTTATGATGAGATGTGCCAGAAGCTTGGGATTGCTGAGATCGGATTGGTTCATCCAGGATAGTAAGAAGGCCCTGTAGGCCCGTTGCGTGTCGTTGGTCGGATCGTCTCTGTAGATGACGTTCTTGAACGAGATTTGAGCGCCTCCATTCTCGCATGCACGAGTTTCGATGTCTTTGAAGAGCCTATAGTATTCCTCCAAGTCGGCACTGTAATTATGCGGAAGCTCTTCGTGTGTGCCGAATGCATTCAATTCGGGATGACTAGTAAGGGCAGCTTTATACGCCCCATTGACAAGTGTTAAGAGCTCGTCGCGGGGCAGGAATGGTTCGTCCTCGAGGAGGTTCGTGATAACTTCCACGTTGACCTTCCCGCGGAGGCGCCTGAATGCTGCGTATGACTTGGAGAGAGCTCGAACCACCTGAAATTCGAATTCCCGAGCGTCTCCTTGGTTTATCAGCTCTGTGGAGACGAACTCATTGGTTGCATCTGATTCCTCAATCGGACCTCGAAATCCGATATCTCTTAATTTTTGTTTGGGTTGTTTTTCTTGAGTGATCCATGGGCCATCTGGCAGCCAGTTGAGAGACGAGTAGACCTTGTCCACATATTGCTCTGATTCGTCATAGACATCCTGCGATAATTCTTGCATAGCGAATCTAGAAATACGGACAAGACGGGTAAAAGAATCGGAGTGGATGCGTGCTGAAAGGCTGATAGAAAGGTGCATAGATAGCCAGCGTCGTACAGAGTGGCGAGTAGTGAGGATTGAGGATGCCAGTAGCAGCGGGATACACAGACAATGAAGGGCGAGACATGGCTCAAGTACTCTGTTGATGAGGCAGGTCGAAATAAACGAGTTGCCACGATGGCAGGGCCTAGAGAAAGTTGCTGAAACCACGAGGACAGGGAAAGGCGCTCAGTTTCAATGACATTGTTGGAGAAAGCATGATGAAAGAGACTTTTCTTGTTGGCCGAAACAACAATCCGATGAGCTAACAAAGCAACGAAGGGAGAGGGGAGGATGTGTTGGTGAGTGACAAGGTGATTATTTCTGTCATCTTGACAGATTGACGAGAAGGAGAAGCGGTTTCGAGCTTGATAGGAGTAGGATAATTGTGCTTGAAATTAGTCCCCCTCCAACCGATACCCGAAAGAATTTTGTGATGGAAGAGCGTCGTAGCTCAGAATTTGAAGAAAAGGAAAGTTGGAAGGGCGTGGTTTAGCCCAATTGGCATACTGGACGAGCGGGGAGCATAATTGGAGGGGTAGAAATGTCAAGTTGGGTTGATGACTTCAGACATCCTTACAACAGTATGAGATGGGATGAAGTGCGATGGAAAACGACAACGGTGGTGAGGACGTGGTTGTGGAGGGGTAGGAAGTCGTGGTAGGTTTTCGGAGAAGTCAAGGCTCGGTTTAGGAAGGCTTGCATCATTGTTCTGATGGAGCATACGATCAGGTACACGCTGCTGTGAATCTATGATAGCTACTGTGTGGTTCCTGAGTTAGCCGTCAATAGCGCGGCTGTTGGTGGGCAGCAAGTTCTGGCAAGTCGCTACCTACATGTTGAGGAAAGGTGAAGGTGTCAATCGTGACTGTCAAGGAGATTTTCCGTGGCATTTTGCAGGCCGACAGGTGCCGGATCTGGGAAGGCAAGGGAAGACCATGCTTGATTCAGTTAGAGCTACGGGTCTTCGGATGAAAAAGACCCATAGTGTAGCTGTGCGCACCAACAAGGACTAGCGCCCTGTGTAATGAGTGGCGCCGGACGCGCAGGAGCCATCTGGCCGGGCCCACCGTCCCACGTCGTATTTCCACGAGGGCAGGAGCTAAGACCCAAGAAGGTCAGGAACGCCAGAGGACCAGACAGGAGGGTCCTTCCTTTTTTCTTTTTGTTTTCCTTCCTCGCCTGAGTCCTGACTTTCTTTGTTTCGTTGCTTCCCGTTTTAATGTCAATAAAGTACGGAGTACCTACTTACCTTACTTGACTAAGGTACCAGTAAGGTACTACGTACAATGAAAGGTCGGTCGTGATAGGCAACTGCGTGGAAGAAGCAAGAACCCCGAGAACGTTCTGCAAAGAACACGTCCACAGGGGATGCCACCATGAATATTGTTGAAATGCATGGGATGCCAACTTGCCCGATGAATGACAGTCAGCTACGGGCAGTCTACAGTACAGACACAAGTACCTATTCATACACCGGGCAGTTACACGGCCATGCC